GACCGAGGGGTCCTGGCTGGTACCAGGGTGCTCTGGCCGGGACTGAGGGGTCCGTATCAGTACCCAGGTGTCCTGGCTGGTACCAGAGTAACCTGGCCGGGACCGAGGGGTCCTGCCTGGGAACACCTACTACCGAGGTGTCCTGGACAGGACCAAGGAGTCCTGGCCAGTATGAGGAGGTCCTGGCCGGTACCAGGGTATCCTGTCTGGTACCAAAAGGTCCTGGCCAGGAATGAGGGGTCCTGGCCGGTACCAGGGTGTCCTGATCGGTACCAATGGGTCCTAGCTGGTACTGAGGGGGCTTGATTGGTACTAAGGGGTCCTGGCTGGTACTGAGCTGTCCTACTGAGCTGTCCTGGCTGGTACTGAGGGGTCCTGAATGGTACGGAGTTGTCCTGGCCGGTACCAGGGTATCCTGGCTGGTACCAAAAGGTCCTGGCCAGTAATGAGGGGTCCTGGCCGGTACCAGGGTGTTCTGATCGGTACCAATGGGTCCTAGCTGGTACTGAGGGGGCTTGATTGGTACTAAGGGGTCCTGGCTGGTATCGAGCTGTCCTGGCTGGTACTGAGGGGTACGGAATGGTACGGAGTTGTCCTGGCCGGTACCGAGGGGTCCTGGCCATGGCAATGGCAAGTGTGGAGAGGCCACCGAGGCTCAGGAACTTGTGTCACTTTGCTGGTGTAAATCAAGAGTAAACTAAGGGTCTTTGCTGTGCAGCTGCAAGCAGACATATCCCATCCTTCTTTTTCTGAACGTAGAGCTTAAGCACTTACACTTTTTACGCTCCCAATCTGGGGCTGTTTTGCACTAGATATTTTATATATAAGATGTGGCTGACTTTTACATGACACTGTTAAGTAATAGGAAAGACTACAAATGGAAAGAGGAAGGAATGAAAACTACAGACAAAGGAGGGAAATTGCACTCGGTTATATTCCTAGAGGCCACAGAAGGATTTTACTGCATTTGATGATATTTTGCTGTCAAAATAGAAGAAAACGGATCAGCGGATCAGAGAAATACATGATGGTTGTGGTAGAAGCTGCAGAGACAAAAGGCACATGTAGCAGCAACAGGAGCCCTCATAAAAAACACAGGGAAGATGATGGGATTCTTTCATGGCTAGACAGGATGTATATGTATATACATGATCACTTCACAGGGAAGATGATGGATGTATATGTATATACATGATCACTTCTTGCTAAAACTCGGTGTGTGCATAAGCATTTGGCAGTAGCAGAAAGGAGGGACAAGTGATAAACTGCTTTATCCCCCCTAATAGCCATGTGCCCCTCCACTCCCAACCTTGAGGGGCCCTCATTTGGTTTGATGAAGAGTAAAGGATGGTTTGAATAAGCGAGGTGGATGAGAGCTTCCAAACTGCCTTTGCACGAAGGTGTACAGCTGTGGACTTCACAGTTCATCCTTATCTCGGGATCAGACTCAAAACTTCAACAGTATTTCATATCTTTAAATTCCTATTTAAACACTTGTCAACACTTGTGTCGGTGGCTCAGAGCAGGAGCTCCTGTGCATTCCTGGTGCGATATAAAACTGTTCACGCAGTAGCTTAGAGCAATTGCAGTGCTGGTTGTGGAGAAGAGCAACCTTCACAACATGTGTAAGGCAAAGACCTACTTTAAAAGATGTTTTACTTTTTTAAAAATATTTTTTCCTGTGTGAATATAATTAAAATACTTGTTCTTTGGGGTCTGGTGAAGCCTTTGGTCTGTCTTTTAATTTCCAATACCACTTTTATGCGGTGTTTGCCATTCACATGATGACTAGAGTAAAATCCAGTGTGGGTAAGAAGGCCAGAGCAGTGCTGTCTTCCATGCCATTTTTCATGATAAATAGATATGTTTCTAATACAGTGAGGATCAATTATGCCATTGATTCTTAGCTTGTTTTTCCTCAGTCTGGTAAATGGTTTGTTATAGCTTATTTTCAGGGAGGAAGTAGAAGATTTTGATACCGTAGGATGAAAGTACTATGTCATCATCAGGGTAACCTCACACTTGTGCAGAAGCTCAGGAGATAGAGCAAGAAGGTAGAGAAGATAGAAAAACTTCCTTAAGATATTTTAGATTCAATGACAAGATTGACCAGTGCTGTATTTTCCATGTTTTTCCTTCATGTAAGTTACTAGGTATACTTTGCTGCAGGTGGTAAGGTTATAGCATAGGTCAAATACAAGATCAGCTTTCCTTATCAGGTCACACACACAGAGCACTGTTGTAAGAAGGGAAATTTTGTCTAGTAAAAAACTCACATGTGTCTCTGATGATACTTAGATATATCCACAGCTGCCAGATCTCATAGTAGAGTCACAAAAAGCCAGAGTCTTGATATCCTGCTTTTCCTGGGTGGATATATGACATTGTGTTTTCCCAAGGACAGTCTGCTGCAATGAGGCTGACTGAGACCATACCTTAACCCAGGCAAAGTGTCCTTGCCAGGGGTTTAAAAAGGAGTGCTATGAGATGTTTCTGCTTTTAGCATATATTTATTGTAAAGTCTGCACAGCAAAAAGGAGTAACAGAATAAGCTCCTCATGACACATGACTAAATGATAATTAATGATGGGAAGATCACACTTTCTTAATGCCTGCCCTGTAAAGGGTTGGCAAGGTTGGTTGTTACCATGAAGAGACATTTGTTTTGTTTTGTTTGATTTTTAAAAGCCACTTTTGCATCTGTTGGAAGGTCGCCATCAGCTGCACAGCATACAACCCACATACGATGTGCACAGCAGTCCTTCTAATCCCTCCAAGGATTAATAACTCAGTTTACCCTCTGGTTGGGACATAAGTCATTTGTGCTGGATAAAGAACCCTGTAAGAGCGAAGAAGCTAACTACGTTTTCCTGAGGAATTCTGCAGAGCAAAAGCAGTTACAAACCCTGGTGAGAGAGTGTGATGGTAACTCAACTCCCAACAAACTATTCATAAACAGTACTAAAATGGTTCAGATTAGTTGGGAGATAAACTATGGCTCCTGGCCAGGCCCTAAGCGAAGTGAGTCCATCCGTTGTAATTGAGATACAAACAAATGACATTGGTCCTCCACTCCAGACACTGCTGACATTGATTTGTATAATAAAGCATAATAATTTGGAAAAATCAAACTTCTTTCCACTTTACTGTCTGCATGTGTAAGATATTTTTCACATGACTGGAACAAACTCATTTGATTCTTGATATACTAATTCACATATGGATACTTTAGATCTGCAACATACACCTCAGATTTGTATATAATGTCAGTAGACAAAAAAGTCTTCCTGGATTGTCAAAGGCTAGTTCCTAGAATATTATTTCTTTAAACAGCTTTCTATCTCCCTCTTCAAAAAAGCATGTTCATAGTCTATTCTTGCCTCAACTGAAACACGTTACCATGGAGGAAGGAAATCCATTTTACTTATTAAAACAGGGAGAAGTAAACTTTAAATAAAATCTTCATTTTCTTTTGAAAATAATCATTTGCACCCACACCCTTCCTCAGCAGAGCTGTTGCCAACTATTTTGCAACTTTTCTGTTTTGGTCTCTTTCTGTGACCTCTGAGCAGAGCCTTTGAATTCCAGTTTGTTATGTAACACAGAGCAGGCTTGGGAACCTAGGTGTGCTGTGAGTGTACTCAAAAATAAGCAGAAAGTAGTAAGTATTGGCCACCTAAAGGCCATTTTTTGAGTACTAGTGAGTATTTACTACGCCATTATCTGCTACTTGTTGGAAGTAGCATAGGGGTGAAGGCAGTAAATCAATGGCTGGTAACACTCACAACTGTTTGCCCTTAGATCCTGCCTCTTCATGTTGATTACTAAAGTAAACTGATGTGTGTGAAGGACTTCGGGGTTGTATCTGGGTTTTTGATGAGGGAGGAGGATGTTTTTATATTTTTGAGCTTATCACAGTGTGACATCTCATTATGGTGAGTATCACACAGAGGAGAAAGTACTCTGGCTTTGAAGACTTTTCCATCTTAATGCGAAGATCCTGAAGAGAGATGCAGTTGTACACATCGCCTGTTCATATAGCCACAAGCTTCACGGTATTACCCTGCCTTTCCCACATGTGTTCTGTCAGTTTTGCACAGTGTGATATATCTACCATTTATTATTGGAGCCTTCAGAAAATAAGAACACATTAGTAGAATGCCAATCTGCAGAACATTTGCAAGGAGCAAAGAATGGCTCAGTGGAAGCTGCCAGTTATGCTGGATTTACTGAGTATTTTTTTCTAAGGGTTACCACTGAGATTCAGTACTTGCTACTGCATTCAGTATCACGTGTGATCTAATTCAGATCTTTCAGGCTGGGGAACCTAAAAGGGCAGCAATTCCAGCTAAAGCTGCTGTACTGCGATGTGCACGTTAATTTGTGACAGTAATTGGAGCTGGAGGACTATGTAAATGCAAAATTAAGCATCTGTATGCATGCAGGATTGAACCTAATTGAACAGTTTCACTCATTATGTAGGGATTTAGTGTTTAATGGATTAAGTATTATATCAGTTAGAAGATCAACATTTGTATAGGAAGCTCACAGGACATTCCATTTTTTTAATGAAAACACCCATTTAGGCACATCAGTTCAATATTTTATATTATAGCAAAAACAAGGTCAGTGGCAGCTGCACTAATGCAGTTTTTGAGCCTCTTGATACTAGTCCTGTAATCGTTGCCTACTTATATGGATCCCTTTTTAGCAATGCACATTGCACTCAGTGCTGAAAATGAATGTCAAAGCCTCATAAATTAATGACACTTGGTACCACTCTGTGCGAGTGTGCTGATTTTCTAAGAATCAGCTTGAGAGAGCTGCACTACGCTTGTAAATGCTACAGCACATGGCTCACACGTAAAAGCAACAAACAGCCCCGTGTCTTGTATTTTTAAGAAAAACGGAGCTGTTGATACTAGTTGTTACTGTCTATGTTGAATTCGCTCCTAATAGCAAGCATGATTTATCCAATTCACAGTGAATTTCCCCCCAGATTTTTTGCTAAAAAAATCATCCTGGGTATTAAAATTTCCCTGAAGCAGAAGCTATCACCAACTGATTTATCAGACATTCTTGAGCCAAGACAGCAATTGGCTGCAGTAAATGTAGCAAAGGCTACTTCAGTTGTTCAATATGGTACTGGCACACAGATTCATCTCTGACCAGGCTCGAGAACCAGGAAGGTGGACGTATTCTGCTCACAATCGAGGAGCACACGTGACGGGAAGAAAGGAAGCGGCCTTTGTATTGACTGCTCCCCGGCTCTGCAAAGCTGGTTTTTGCTGCCGGCAGCCCGTTCTTGAAGCCGTGGTTCCCTCCTTCGCGCGTCGCTGAGCGCTTGCTCGCTCAGTGCCTCCTCTCGCGGGGTCTCCCTTGCAGTCAACCTCCTTTCCTCCCGCTTTCGCCTTTTGCACTAAGGGAAGAACAGCCAGACGGCACTAACAGGAGTTCTGCAACTTTGCCATCCAGTTAACGGCTTCCTGACCTACTGCTGCAGGACATTTGTCCTTACGTCACAGTATTGTTTACCTAATCTGTTACTTTTTCAAAAAATTCCCAAGGTCATTAGTAAGCCTGCTGTCTCATGTGGCCACATTTTTTTTTTGGAATTCTGTTTATTATGGCAAGTAACACCCCATAATGCTGCCCTTTTCCTCTGTCCCATGCTCACTTACACTTTCTGTTAGCACTCTGGTAAATTCTTTAGTCTTGTCTTTATTTCTGCTCTAGCTATGAGGTACTACTTTCCCACTAGTGAGCTCCAGTGCTGATCAGATAGAGGGCTTAAAAAATAATGGTACAGATTTTAAAATCAATGAACTGTGTAATTATACATGTAAAAAGATTGAGATATAAGTAAAAGACTTTCAGGATTTTTTCCTTCTGCAAAACCTTTTGTTTCCAGTAATAAAATCACTAGAGTGAGACAGCAGTACCAGAGGTGTCAACTCAGCAGGCAGAGGGGTAACAAGCTCTAGAGGCTCAAGGCTGGATTTAGGTAAACCCAGGTTAGAAATGCACGGCAGTAACGAAGCAATGGGAGGAGCTGACATTTTCCTCTATCACACACCCAAATGGCTCAGGTCCAAGCTGCTTCCTTAGCTAGAGCTTTTTCTCTCATGTTTCTTCAACAATTAATTCAGTATTTTGCAGGTGATCAGGGATGATCAGAACAGTAACTTATTGTAGGTTAAAATCTATGACACACGTTTCAAAGTCTAAAGAATATATAATAGCCTGATTCCAATTATGAGCCTAAGAATGCCATCAGGAGATAAAAAACAGTTTAGTGGGCTCAAGTTTTAGGAGCAATATTTGGGCTGTGTAAGCAATGCTTTCTTTAAAGAAATTTTTAGCAACAAATTCAAGTGAAATAAAATCTTCACTATTATACTTACATTTACCTGTAAATTATGGTCACCAGGCACAACAAAATCCTCCCTCCTAGAGACTTACCTGCATTAGGCTGTTTTCTGATGGTGAGATTTCAGAGAAAACACTGATCTATTTCTTTTCTAACTGGTAAGCAAATAAGCATAAAATTATATGTTTAACACATGACGGAATGATGATTTTCATTATGTAGTCAGGCAGGTCATTCATAGCATTTTACAACCTTTTCACCTATTTTGGTCAGTATGAAATTTAATACGAGTCTGAATATCCATCATAGGCCTCATCCAACTTCTAAGTCAGTGGAATGACAACCAGACAATAATTCAGAGGACTTCAGTAAATCAATTTAAGCATTTACTTTCACATTAATATGCCTTGAAGAAAGCTGAATACAAATGACTGCATTCTGCTGAAAGTATTAGATAATATGCAAATGTTAAAAACCACCTTCCATGACAAATTAGCAACTATTTTAAATAAAATTATTTTTATTTATCAAGACAAGTAATATATTAAGTATAATTGAAAAAATAAAGGTTCTTGGACTTACGATTTTTTTGTTTCTGTTTATTAAGAAAAAGATTTACATAGAAAAGGTAAGTGGAAGGTAAGTAAATGAAAGAGAATTCATTAGCTCACCTAATAGCTGTACAACTCAATCTAATGACAGAAGTTGCAGAAAACCTAAATATTATAAAAAGTCACTTCCAAAATTGACTGACACTGACAGAGTGAGAAAAAGACACAGAAACAAACAACATGTTTGTGCAATCAGAAGGATATGAGAAAGACACAGCCATTAAACTTCAAGGAATCTCCTGTCAAAGGATATTTCTCTATCAATATTATGCCTTTGGAGGAAATGAAATGATAAATGTAATTCTTTAACATATCTTTGTATCTAATATATCCTGCAGTTTGCCATTTACATTTTGATTTTCCACCTTTTCAGAGCTGGAAAGCCCGAAAGTGAGATTTTGCTTAAGAGGACACCCCAGGGAGACCGGTATTTGGGTTTTCACACATTCCCAGGCTGTTCTTAAATCTCCATGTTCTGACCTGTCTTCCAATGGCAAGATTAATTTTCCAAGGACTTAATAAAGGCAAATGAGATAATGAGGAATCCCGGGTTCAAAGCCGTTGCCTGATCCCAGTATCCCGACATCGGAGCCTGGGGCAGCTTTTGCTGCAGTTTGCAGAAGCTGCAGAGAAGCTGGCGCACCTTCTTGTGCACATTTACCAACCAGTGGCATGGCTAGGAGCAGCATCACAGACTGAAATGTTCTCATAAACTTTGTGCGGTTAAAAAAAGTATATATACATATAGGGAAAATAATGAGAACAGACACTTTAATGGCAACAGGAGACAATGATTTATTTTTACTGACTTCCGACTGGGGTTAGATCATTTGAGAGACATCCAGTATATTCATAAGACCACCACAGATAGGACTACATATGCATATTCTGTCTATCTCACTACCACACCCTCTCCATAAAGGCACTAAGTATAAATAAAATGAAAACAAACAAACACAGAAAATTAGGTTAATTAGGTTAACAGAAAAAAAAGGAAAAAAAGAAAAAAAAACATTGCTTTTATGGATTTCTATGTTTATGTTTGTATACATTCATGCTTTAAATGCACGATTCCAAAATTAATTTAAAAAGTCACCTTCATTTTGGCAGTACAACTGATAAAATGAAACATGCAGGAAACAGTTTTAAACAGAACTCAGTGCATCATTTTGTCAGAATGAAGCAGTTCTTTATCCTTTCATGTGTTGGGAATACATTCATATTACAAGGCAAAAAAACAGACAACACGTGGTTTCTGTGTAATGTATCTGCTTGCCCACATCTTCTCCAACATCTTTGGATAGTAAAATCTACTCTTGAACACAGGTTAAATTGTGTGGTTATATTTTAACAGTCTTCGCAGTGCAGCAAGGCAAAACACAACTGCCTGTATTTACTGTTCTATTTCCAGGCTATCCATTTTTAAGTCAGGTGGTTTAAAGCTCATCACTTCTTCGTAAGTAAGTTCTGCAGAGAGGGGGTAAGGAAGAGAGAAGATTACATGATGCTCTCCTTAAAAGAAAATTATTCTAGCCCATGCAATTAAATGGATACACGTGATTTGCAGTTTGTCTTTCCAGCCGTATTGCGTAGGGCTATACCCAAAAATAGATTGAATTCTCTAGAAAACTGTTAGCTTCAGGTTATGAATCAGGTTCACAGATGCTATTTTTCTACCACAGGTCCGTCCTTTACAGCTAATACTAAAACACACGACCCTGAAATGGACACAGAGATTACGCTGTCAGATGCCCTACCAAAAAGACGTAATAAAAGACAAAAGGTGACATAAAATGGAACCTCTAAAAGCTCCCAGACAGGTTTTAACTGCGGAGAATGTTCTTTATCATCTCAGCCTTCACTATAAATCACTTGGAATTCTGTACTAATGCCTTGGGTTCTGGGATTTTCTTTTTAATTTTAACTAATTAAAGGTCTTTCGATGAAATATTCTTTTGCCTAAGGATCATGCAACACAGTCCTATTTTCACTACGAAAGACTTGAATGAGAAAGACGTGTTCTCTTCTCTTTTACATTGCTTTAGAAATAGTTCTTCATCTTGCCATGCTCACATGCCATATTTTCTGCCTTGCAAAGTAATGGAAAAATATGTCAGTGACTCCTTCCCATGTATTTTCTCAATTTAGATTAACGGATTTTTAAGTACCAAATCCAGCTCGCACATAAATAAGTGGCTAAAGGCACATTTCCTCAGCATCTGCTTTTCAAATACTGCCTGATTGTTATGTCGTTTCAAACTTATACCTATTATCTAGTTTATTTAAAAAAAATCTGAAGTCAGACAGAGCCAATCTGTATATGAATGGATCTGGCGCTGCTCTGGAAATTGCATAAAAATCTCAGGGCTGAATCTTGCTTGTGCTTTGATTATGTGACACTGCAGCACCGTATAACATGACCAACACGCCAGCTCAACCTAACGAGCTGGCACTTTCTCCCAAAGAAATGCCAGTGCAGAATTCCTAAGGCTGAAGGACTGGTTAGGTGAGGCAGGGACTGGTCTGAATAAACTTATAAAAACATGCCAGGAAACTACCCACATTAACCTAGGCTGCAACCTTCCACCGTATCTCACAGGGGCCAAGGAAATATGGATGAAAAGAAGAAAAGATGTCCAAAATCACATTTCACTTTAGGTGCTCAGTCTCTCTCAGAATCAATCACTACTGACTTTTAATGTGAACAGGAAGAGAGGGGAAAAGATGCCACTGAGAAACTGGGAGAGTCCTTCATTAACAATACATTTCATGCACACAGTGACTTTTGATATCATTTTATTTAAATGAGGCACATACCACAGCTGAAAATATTTGTTATGTGCACAGAAGAAGTGTGCACAACTGTGTCCTAGTTGTTCTCACCTCTGCCATGAGGTGCTGTCAAGCTGGGGCCAGAAACAAACCTGGGGGTCACGCAGACTCTGAGGGCAGTTTCTCTGCTCTTTGTCCTCAGGCATTCTTGCTCTTGGATCTTGATTTTATTTGTTTGAGTCCTCTTATAGTCACATTATTGTCTCATAAAAATATTTTCTTCGACTATGCCAAGCATAATGGGTTTAAAAGCTTCGTGGAAATCAAAACAGAGCATTCTCAGAAGACTGAAAAAGTCTGAGTTCATGTCTTTCTTGTCCCTGTTCCAGCCATGTTTTAATCTCAAAACTAACTTAAACTACAAGTCTGTATGTGGTTAATTCTGCTGTTTTCAAGCAACCTGACAGCCTGTTCTTGTAAAGATAATGGAATTACTACAGGCATTAATGCTATAGGAACATTTTCATTATTTTATTTACAAAAGGTACTGTAACATTATATTAAAAAATGGTTTTTTATTCACTCATTTCATTAGAACTATTTTTATTATGTTCTAAGTGTAACAATCTCAGTTGCACATGAATAGAATTTGAATATTGGAAAGTTAATTGTTATAAATAAAGCTATAAATATTGTTATAAATAAGTTGTTTTAAATAAAGCCTTGTTATAAATAAAGCCTTTCATATGCACTGGCCTCACAGTTATGTTGCTGACAATAGTTAAGTTTTATTTCTAACAGTGTTCTAAAACTTAACTGGTTAAGTTTTATTTCTAACAAGGCAAAAAATCTGAACAGGTTATTACATTATTGGGGTGACAGGCTTTCTTACATGATAAATAAGTGAGAGCAAGGAGCCACAGGTACAATTACTTGATATGATGTCAAAAAGTCATTGAATAGTCAAGGCTGTTAATTTACTTGTGAAAGGAAAACAAAATGGAAAAACAAACTTCTATGCTTTTAATCCCCTTTCTAGGTTTATAAGCATTACGTTATTAAAATATGCTCATAAAATAGTAATAAGACTAATAACTCCTAACTAAGAACTATATTGTTAGAACTCCTGAGTTTTACCAGAACAGTAGTTTTTGGTTAGGAAAGATTAATAAATATTTGTTAGGATAATGCTTTGCTAAGATGTATGGATTCATGAATATCAAAATGCCAAAAAAAGAACGTATTAAGAAAAGTACACATTTTTTTCAGGAAATCAAGACAAGAAATGAGACATTAGTTTTGTATTCAGTCTACAGTTGAAACTCATTAAAATTAAATAATTCAATACTTAAAGCTTCTGAATTTTCTAAGTTCATGTAATAAAGAACATTAACATGTTAATAAGCTTAATGCAATGCCTTAAAATGTTAGTATGCTTAATCTGGAGGAATGATTTCTTGGCCTGCTAAAGAATGACCGTACAGAAAAAAAACTATGAAAACCTGCCTGTTCTCTTAATTATTCAACACAGAGAAAGCAGGTACATATTTGCTTCAACTCAGCATCTGAAAAAATGTGATATAGTTAGAAAATGCTAGTAGAAAATGCTTTAAATAGTGAAGGAGAAAGTTCTAGGTAAGGCAAATAACTGAAGCAGTCACAAACTTAGTATTTTCTCTGTTTTCAGAGCACAGAAGCTTTCTTAGTTTAATGCTATATGAACTTTGTGGAAGTGTGCAGGAAGTTTATTTCCCATGATAAAAATATTGCCAGGAAGCAGAGCTTGCACAATTCTGAGATCTTTGTCTCACAGGTCTTTTTTCTGCATGAAGAAGGAATTTAATCTGTAGTTCCACCAAGGACTGTGATGTACAAAAATACACACTGCAGAATATGTTGTCTTTCCTAGAGAAGTCACTTCTACTTCCCCATTTCAGTTCAGAAGTTCAGCTAAGATTGTTCCCCAAATAATTTTAACACTTTTGTTGGTGATGAAATGCTAAGTTTCATGAATCAGAAATTGTTAAACTTTCCTGTTGAAGACTCAGTCAGCTAAAGAAGCAGCAGAAAACAAGTCAACCACTGTAGCAAATCAAGCATTGATTGTGCTGAATGAGATACATGTGAAGTGTTGTATGTTGGCACACGGCAGGAATAACTGACACCAGTCAGTTCTCAATTTTTGTACACTCATTGGAATTGTACAAAATTCTTTCCAGGGTGCTAGGATATTGCTTTATTGTCAGAGATTCATTTCCTACCTTTTCTAAGGTGAATTTGCTGTAGTCAGCCTGCTAGCCTTGCCCCCAGAGCAGCTTACAGTCCTTTAGTTTAACTTTACTAGCAACTTGCATGTGAAAAACCACTTGAAAAAAAAAATTTCTCCCATCAAATAATTCCCTTGCTTTCAGATAGGAAGCCATCCTTAACCTCCTAGAGAAGAGTTGCTGCTCTGTATTATTTGCATAGACATAAAAATGATTTAGAAAACCCCACAAGACAGGTCAGGCCATATGACTCAACTGCCAGCATGAACACGCTGACATCAGACTTGCTGGGTTCCTTGGGTCAGCCTCAGAGCTGGCACGAGTGCCTGTAATATCGTAGCAGTGCAAAGTGCTTTAAATCTGCTGGAGATTCAATAAAACAAATTCTTCCTGCAAAGGTGCAAGCAGGCAGAGGCAGCTCCATCACCTCTCTGGTTCAAGTTTTCCTATTCCTAAGGTGAAAAAAATGATACTGTGGCAGGAGCTCAAGTGAAATAGAAATTGCCTCCAGTCTTGAGGGCAAGGAGCACATTCTCCATGGGAGCCTGGACATGAAGGCTCTTCTCTGGTGTCCAGAGCTGTTCAGTTCTCAGTGAACGAGAGGTAGGCACTTCACTTCCTTACAGCCATCAATTCCAATGGGCAGATATTCAGACTGTAAGAGCCTAAAAATCTATCAGGAAAAAAGCAGCTGCCAATCCTTCTGTCAAAGGCTCCTTCTTTTGGCACTAAATTATCCTGTTAAACTTTGTCATGCCTAGTCTTTATAAAGTATTTTACGTTAGCTCACATTTGTGGGCCACAGGTGAAATCCATACAAGATACTAGGCAAGGTCAGCAGGTGAAGTAGCTCCTACAGTCTTGACTATTCTGTGCTTGACTATTCAAAGCACAGACAGGCCAAGTGCTGCTTATTTTTTCTAAACTATCTACAGGGTGTACACAAACATCCATGGACATGCATATTCAGGGGAAAGAAAGAAATTTTTAATCTTCCCCTTAAAGCTACAATTCAGCCTTCTGCTTCGCAAAGACAGTATGTTTAGAAAATACGAAATAGCCCCATCTACCTGTATCCTATGATTTCCTTACTAATATAACCACCATATATCATTTAAATGGACTACCTTACTTGGAATCTGTTTTTTAACATACAGGGAAAGCATACAGGAAAAGTACTGAGGTGGAAATTCACCTTTACAGCAAGGGCCAACATGAAGTACATGCATCTCTGTTCCTGCAAACACCACTTAAGCTTTCATTATGCAGAGTACCCTGGTGTTCAGCCTGCACTATGGTAAACTATCACCAATGGGGGAATATTTGAAGGCAACAAGCACTGAAGAGAAGACAGTGAAATATGCACAGGAAGGACAACCCTTTTCATCTGTCCAGTCTCACAAACATATGGCCTTATCTCATTTTTGAGGTTTCAGAGCTTAAAATATTCTGGTTAGAAGCAGTGGAAAGTATTAAGTCACGTGTGCAGTCCTCTCTTACCTTTCCATTCATCTATAGTTCGTTCTTTATTTTCTATTGACTCGTCATAGAGCTCGGCCTCAGGCTCATCATCTGGATCGTGATACTGTACAAAGTAGGGATGTGCAAGTGCTTCTGAGGCAGAAATTCTTTTATCGCTGTCTAATATAAGCATCTTCTCAAGAAGATCTACAGCTAAGAGAAAAAGCAAAACTCCTATCAAAGCCAGAAGAGACTGTCTAGAAGTAAGAGAGAGGGGCAATCGTATATAACAAACAACTACTGAAGATTTACTAGCAGAGTAGAATTTTCTGTGCTTGTGCCATATACAGCAGCTGATAAATTAATATTATATAAAATATAATAAAAATAATATAAAATGATATTCAAAAAGGCCAATGAAGCAGCTATACTTCCTGGAATATTTTTCTTCATGCTAGCAGTTGAGAACTCTTGGCCATTCTGAACCAGAAATGGTGCCTTCATTCTAGATCTAGTGACATTTTTACTTATTCCTGCTATATAAAATTGCTTTCTAAAACACTCGTTGCCTTTTCACCCAGACTATTTCCTTCAGAAGATTCCTGTAATCTCCATCAGAAACAAAATACATAGGCTTTGTGAAGGGAAAACTGTCTCAGAATGAAAGGTTAAAGAATTCTCTTTCCATGGTCTAGTGATTCTTATGGGATCATATAGCAAAGCAGGACTTGAGTTTATGTGGTAGTGAAGGATTTGAACTTTAGCAGTCTGACTTTCTTACCTAATGGATTGGCACCACGAAACACTGCCTTCAGATCTTGTTGAGGCATATGGGGAAGAGATTCAATGTATTTCCTGGCCTGGGAATAAATCAATACATACCACACACACAAACGTTAGATTTTGCCCAACAGGGACAATATCAAGTCTAAAAAAGTAAAAGTAGCAGTTGTTCCATTTCTTATACACAGGAAATGTTCTTTATGTAAAATCAGTGTGTGACTTTGTTTTAACAATCACTCATACTTGGGCTTATTAGACAAGAGGATTTTAAACGTGTATTTTGCTCTAAGAGTTAGGTGAAAACGTTAAGTACTAACACATACACAAACTGGTTCATTGCTATATATTGCCAGGGAACGCAATGCATTTATCTTTCAACCAGAAACTGCAACATAAATCATTACCCTCAGCAAACTAGTACAATCCGCTCTGCTTCCTTCCCTTCCAACTCTCCTGTGCTGAGTAATAGTTTCCCTGACCGAAGAACAGAGAATTCTCCTTGATACTCCCAGGGCACAGATCTTCAGAAGCTTAAGACAATTTACAGCTTGCCTAGAGTCCATAGCTGTGAAAGGCTCATCCAAACAGAGCTATAAAGTCCTATCCTTACATCCCATTCACAGATGTGAGCATGATGCTCAGCACTGAAAGAGCCATGAAATTCTGGGATGAGGTGAAGAGATAAGGGAAATGCTTATGGGTAAACTGAGGAAGTTGTACAATGATCCTAAAGACTGTAGACAGACCTGGCAGTTCTGAAAATGAAGAAGTTACAGAGGAGGAAAGTCTGAATTACTAAAAGAAACAGTTAGTCTCTGAACAGATCTGAATCCTTTTAAAACACCCATCTGTGTTAGAGGAAGAGTCTCCCTGTTGGCACTTCCATAAGTTCATTAAGGAAGCTAACCATCCTTGGCCTACTGGATACACAAAGCAGAATGAAGCTCATACTGAGCCACTTCATGCCTTTACGTTGAACAGGAGATGGAGGATTGAGGAAGTGCCTTAAGGACTGATCAACTCATTGAACACCGTAAAGTGAAGCTACTATAAAATACTCTACGTGTTATCTATGAAATCCTATAGCCACACAAATGAAACTTGTACCCTTTCCAGGTCACACTGCCATTATCTTATTTTCTGCAGCTACAGTGTACTGATATAAAGGTACTTTGAATTGTTACAAAACGGTCTCCTTTCAAATAGTGTTCTAATTTAACAAAGCAAGTCTATTTTTTCTCCTTTTTATTAGAACTCAGTAAATTCTAGCATAACTGTAGACCATTAGTGATGCACTTCAGAATCTTAATAAGGTTCCAGTCCTAATGGAAGCAAGACTTCATTGTTTCTTTTATCTGTTAAAACTGTATTAGCATTTTTCTCTTTTTATTGTTGGGACTGATAGCTAGGCTTTCTTAGGGATGATTTTCTTAGCAGCTGTAGCTAGTCATGCAGAGCATGATGTTTAAAGAACAGGCAAACACAGGATTCACTTCACCTATTTTATGGCCCTAAAAAAATCATGAGGGTAACAAACGTGAGCTGGAAACTCAGGCTGTGTAGCTCCTATTAGGAGAATGTTTTTTAGGGAATTTATACATATGTATAAACAGCAGAGCAATAGAGAACTGTCAAGACATTCCTGCATAGAAACTATGGCCTAGGAAGCACCAAGTAGATTTATCTTATGACAAATGTCTGTGGATTGGGCATTTGTTTCTGTACTAACACATAAATTAAAAACATTAATCCAACCACGACTAAGACAGGGCCCAGATTACCTTCACCCTTGTCCAGAAGTCGTCTGAAAATAACTCAGGCCTGTCAAAGTGACCATCAACCGCGCCTCTGAGCCCCTATTCACCACAGAGACTCATCCAACAGGATGTAGATTTTTTTTTAAATTAGCCTGAAAGTAGTGGAATGCAATTGCAGTATAAACCTGTGTTAATATGAAAGACTGACGAAGCAGCTCAGTACCCTGTGCTGGAATATCCCATGAAACTCATCCTTTAAATTCCAGTTCTCTAACACCCACTTTATAACTGAAAAGAGGGTTGACTTCTCAGAAAATCTTTGATCTTGCTGTTAAAGAAATTTTTAATTTTAATGTTTAAGATGTTTAATCTCATAATCAAAAAGCTTTCACACTGACCCGGTGGTCAAGTCACATGTCTGGGTGAGCTACTCTGACTGCGTTACTGCAGAAGTCACAAGCTCTGAAAACCAGAGAGGTTACATAAGTACCTGTGCTTAGAACAGCACTTGGAACAGATACTAGACCTGCTTGTTGGTGCTGTCCCCTGGTATGAAGACTGTTCCTCTCCTGTCCCAGTCCTTCTGACACGTAGACACAAACTATAGAACTGCATACTGGCTTATGATGATGATTTTTCAGTATGCTTTGACCTCCAGGATATATAATATTGGTCTGGTTCTCCTATTGTTCTTTCTAACTTAACCTACTGGTATTGATATTCACTTAAAGTTCAAAGAAAACTCATCAATTTATACATATGAGCTGAAAAGTAGGCATGAGTGTTATAAACCTGTCATCCAAAGCACCAGACTGGCCTCATTTACCTTTTCCAACTAAGCTCATACTCTTCACTAAGCTTTGAGCAGAAGGATGAAAGAGGAAGTTACAACTAAGTGTTTTTTTTTTTTTAATCTACTCTTTATTCCATCTTACCAGTCCACTGATTGTGTGAAAAAAATCTTACAGGCCTCATTTCCTGACCACCTAACTTTCTGGATGATAAGCAAAAGCAGCTCTGTCTTGACTTTTGGATAGCCTCAGGAAAAACAGTTGAGACGGTAGTTTAACAAGAGAAAGATGTCAACAGCTTCAGTTGTTGATATCGTCGTGCTTTTCTTTATCTGAATTTGTACTGTACCCGTCACCTGACTTTATAAACCAATATTATACATTTCATTCCTACAACATAGCTGAATATCCACGGATATTGTTTAAAGTGAAACTTTAAAACATGGCATATTTCATTTGCTGCATTACTGTCTTCATAAAAGCTGTATGGAGAGTGACAAATCACATGGTTGCCAGTGCAGACACTGCCGTGACAGCTGACCTCACACAAGCACTGAGACATGAATAAAACCAGGCTCAAATTAGCCATCCAAATAAGAGCACCCATGCAGCACAAACAGTATTTGATTCTGGTATACCTGGTTTCATCCCTCAAGGATAGAAAATGTAAAAATGAAAGACATCAAATTTAATAACAACAATCTAATGCTACAAGCTGAACATCTGGGTTTTTTTGTTTTGTTTTGTTTTTTTAACGTTAAGGATATCAGGAAAAAAAATCATCAGGAACAAAACTGAGTATAGAAGAACAAGTATCAAAATTAATTCACCTGATAGTCACTGATAGTCAAGGCATTTGGACATCTCTAAAGGGAGTATTTTTTGAATAGTACCACTCTAGCCGGGGGGAGGAGGGAGGAAAAAAAAAAAAAAAGAAAAGATTTTAAGGTATTTGCTCATTTCCAAATCAGGATATCAGCATATCCAAGTAATACAACCAATGGCATACAAAGGCAATCAGAGAAAGGAACAATGAAATATCATTTAACTGAATGAGGCCGTGAACTCACATGTTCTGATGATATCTTCTTCAGAAGTTCAGAACTGGGAGTACCCACAACTTCCATTATTCTCTTTAGCTGATCGATATCTGCATTATTTCAGGAAAATTAAAGGGAGTGTAACGAAAAATAAAACAGCAGACTGCTTTTGGGTTTAAACAATTCACAACAGGGTTAAAATATTTAAGCTAGTGAGCACCATAACTAGATCACTGTTCAAGGAACTGCATCAGCTCATAGCTGCTGAAGCCTGGTTCTAGAGCATCGTACTCTCTATTGCACTATCTGCATCTCTGTTGGGTGTGCCTATCTGTGGAAAAACGTGCATATAAAATATTGTTGCCCCTTCCTAGCTCTCAATTCAATACATTCACAAGCACAGTTTTAATTGCATGCTTGTCACAGTGATCTGAACGATTTCTGAAGAACAGAAATTGGGCTAGATTATTGACCTGAGATCCGTTAAGTAGAAAATTCTCATTTGGATGGATAAATGGATTTTTACATCCATTCTATAGCACTTTTAAGATTAAACACTTTAAAATGCACATTTTTCATTGTCATATGTGACCAGTAAAGTGCATTTCATTTTCCCTAGATACTCAAGGTTATTTTATGTTTTAATTAAGTTGATGGAATCATGTAATTGTAGACAATATTTTCTAATAGCAAAAGTATCTTATTTCAGAAACCTAGATTTACTATTTTTCTCTAGATATGACATATCTGTCAGGTAATCAAACAGTCGACAGTACAGTCATCATCCATATGATGAACATCTGCCTAATGCCTGTGCTAATAAGCTTGAGCTTAACACACAGAACAGCCAGGTGACAACGTCTCTTATTCCCTCTCTTAACAGTTTTTCAGGCAATTCAAACGTCCCCTTGTTTTGCAGATGTCAGTATCTTGAATTTTAACAGAAATTACCTTTTTTTGGTTAACAGTAGTAAGAGTCAGTATTCAGTATAGCAGAATTTATTTCTCATATTAAAGGCTTTCCTCTTCTAATTCAATTACTCCTCATTCTTCACTATCCGTTTTTTCTTTAGTTTTCTTTTGTTAATTTTCCTCCTGAGTAACTTTTTTTTTTCTTCCCTCCTGTCAGCATAGGAAACATCAATGGAATTCACTGACACTCCAGCAGGGACCAGAGGGAAGTGCAAGAGAGAGCATTTTGTTGCTTTTATGGAATATCAGGAAACACTTTTTCCTTCTTTTTCTTTTTTCTTTGAAATAGGACATAATATGCCTATTAATCTATTGATTCCTTTACTATGTATGGGTTAATTTCTTTAGATTTTAGGACCCTCTGAGCCTGAAAACATCTGTCTGAAAAAATATATATTTATTAGTTGATTCAAAAATACTAGCTTTTCTCTGCTTCACTTTTAATGTATGTCATTTCAAACAGATACAACAGATTTCATCCGCGTGTGTAACTAGGCTACTATTTAAATACAACATACAAAATAAACAGCAAACGTGACATTACTGTTTAGGAACATCTGTTACTTCCCCCTGCCCCCATCCACCGGTTTCATAGTCAGCTGTCATAACACTAAACTAAGAGACTAGTAAAAATTGCTTTTTTGAAAGTTTGTTACCTGAAAGATGGAGACACTTCAGTCATTACAAAAAAAGAAAGGGAGAACTAGACAGAATTTGTATTTTATGTCAAGGATACAATCATTTCCTGGAAATAGGGCCTTCCCTTTTAATAGCTCTGCCATAATGCATCCAACAGACCAGATGTCAACTACCAAAAAAAACCAGAAATATGTACAATGAATGAGAGATCATTAAGCTTTTGCCTCTTAGTGTAACTACATCCAGCTGAAGCAAAATGCAAGTCTTTATAATTTACCTGTTTGATTGTAGTGCATCCAGTTCAACATAATTTCTGGAGCTCTGTACCACCTTGTTGCAACATATCCAGTCATTTCGTCATCAGTTTGTCGAGCTAAACCAAAGTCTAAAATCTACATAATAGCAAAAAGAAATCCGCTGTTAATTCTGCTACAGGAGCTGACTTTCTTCCTTGTTTACTTTTGAGCTTATCCAGGTGTCCAAGTACCTCACTTTCAGTGAAGGAAAATTGCAGCATGCTGTGGAGGAGGAGCTCATCTGCTCGCCTGCTCCGCATCACCTGTACATTCCCTAAATGAGGAATCTGGCCATGGATATTTGGCTATAACGTTGAGGCAGTTTGCCCTCTAAGACAAACCTTACATTTTTCCTCAAGCTCAATTTTCCTTTGGCATTAATTTGCTGAAAATAAGTACTATTGCTGTGCTTATTATCAACTGGGAATATTTGTGTAAAATGTCAGCTCTGAAGGCCGCTAGCCACAACACTTAAAGATACCACAAGCTAATCTGAAATCCCCGGAAGTTCTATTGATTCCCTCTCCCATCTATTTAAGTGTTGCTATGTACGAGTTAGCATTCACTCAAATCACACATCATTCTCATGACACTAGGAGAGAAAGGCATATATCCTACATAACAAGGTACAACTATATCACATATCATCCATTTTCAACAAAATTCCCTGTTGTGAAACAACAAATGAGCTCTGTTTAAATACATACATTACTCGCATGCTTGATGGCAAAATGTTAGCCTCCATGTGCTCTCCTTTGCTAAGCTTGCATGACAGGAAGTTATTTCAATCCTTTTTTTTTTCCTGCTCATTTCTTCATCTTCTGTCTTTTGATTAGTCTACATCCTACTAATTACATAGCTAAAAGGTATCCTTAACTTTGAGACATGCTCTTTTGAAAGTGCACCACCCAAGCTTCAGAGCTGTTCATTAAGTCACTCACCTGAGATACTTCTCTTGAAATAGAAATGGGAATTGGGATCAATCACACGTCCCTGATGGGACCTAGTATTATTTATTAAGCAGATAGCATCTTCATGGGGAGTAAGATGATTTTACATATTATTCAAAATTGCCCAGTTATAAAACAATTTAAAAGTAATAATATTGATGAGAAATATTAATATATACACTAGCATATTCACTTTTAATATACTTTTATATAATAGACTCATTCTATAATAATAGACTTTTAGTAGCTGATCTCTTCTATCAAATGTGTACACACAAACACATCTTCCTTCTTTTTGCCTCTATTTAGTTTTTGATTATATAGTGGAATATCCACCTTTTTTTTATTATTAAAACAAAAAATGGTATGAGAGGATGTCAAGTAATAAATATAAGCAAAGTATCATCAAAAAGCATAAATATGAAACTTGCTCAGCATCTGCAACTTTCACTACAACAAATAGGAACTTAGTTTCTTAGCATTGATCAGAATTAGTCCTAGAAACTAACCACATTTCTCTTATCAAGACTGCGATTTTCTGCTGATCTCGTAACATTTGGATTTTTTTTTTCTGAAATCTCTCGTTGCTGGAATAAAGTTTATATCAGAATCCTCATATAGAAGTTTTTTCCTGTCGTAGAGAAACGCTAAACTTCTGGCTTCTGGAGCCTTTATATTTAAAAAGAAAGAAGACATCTCTTCCTTCCCTAGATTCTCATTCTTATTATATAGATACACATAGATACAGGAAGATACTTTTTTTTTATGGACATGGGCATTGTCATAGTATTTCAGAAGTGTGGACAACATTTTTGTTGTTAGTTTGTTTTTACTGCCTATAATTGATAATGTAACTGGTAATATTGGTAATTTTCGCATCTTTTTTCTCATATCATTATGTAATTTAGTTTGTAAATTCACTAGAAATATAAGTTACTAAGTTCTTCATATGAACAATGCAGATGTAGACACATATCACATACTCAGCTGATGTACTCACTCATGGGTCAAATTATTAGCCTATGTACATTCAGTGAGGAAGTAAAGCTGAGCATTTTGCAAAGATTTTTTTTTCAACAATAAATTAATATTTGGAAGAAAACACATGTTAATGGAAATGTTTTTCTTGTATGCTGAGGGCACCAGTAACAGTGACATGACTCCTACCCTCAGTTCACAGTCTTCATTCACAGCCAGGTTACTGGGCTTCAGGTCCTGCACCAGAACAGACAGACTTAGTCAGATACTATTGCAACCTTTTAAAGCATTATTAGAGCAATGTCTTAATAACACATATGTAAGGACATGCTCTATTCATTTTTATTATAACACTGAGTGGACTCACCCGGTGGATGATTCCAGCTGAGTGAATATACTGTGAAACAGAGAGAAAAAATAAAATAAAATTTGAAGGTATAAGTAAAAGAAGAAATAAGTCACTACATCTGTATTTTTGATATTGAAACTGATGATTTCATGTACAGAATGCAGTAGATATGACTAACTTGTTTTAGCCCTATTGTTTTTCACACTAGCTGAAGAGAGGAGAAACCAGAGCGCTGTTTGCAACAGAATTAACCGTGCTGAGACAGTGGTTCCCTACAGAATCCAGGTCAAAGCTTCCTGTGTTCCGACAGCTTCTTCTGCAGGCCTTGCTGTGTGTGCTGGATACTGCTGACCACTTGCACCAGTGAGCCCAAACCTTACTCAGGTACACGAGCACAAGCTGTCATTACTGCAGCATGGATGTAAACCAGGAGTTACCTTTACGGAGACAGGAGAAATTCCATTCATTGTCTTTTATACAAGACTGCAAGCTGGATAATTAATTCAAGAATCTATCTTCCTAGTTAAGCTATTAACTGAAGCAAGCGAGACAAAGCAATTAAGAGCTCAGTTCCGCAATCCTTATTCACTGAAATCTGCACTTAAATTGTCAGAACCCGCATGCATGAATAAGAATCATTGTCTCAGGCACCAGATGACTTGCTCAAAACCATTTATTAAGTCTGTTCCACAGCCAAGATTTGCAACAGCTTTCTTTCGCACATACACCTGTCTTGCATGTCTAAAAAAAATGAGTACTGAAAAGTGAACTATTAAAGCAACTGATCTCTACCTCTCTTATTCTTTTAATTATGCCTAAGGAAAAAAAAATATCAGCATTAGTCTGAAAAAACACTTTTCACCAAGTACTGGGAAGCATTTTCTACATCATCTCCTGATTACAGACGATTACATGGTTAATGTTAGCAAAATGATATACACACTTCAATTCTTTAGGAAGAAAAAATTGCCACAATAACATTGCCTGTACTATTTATTGTGTAAATTTTAATGGATATAATTAAAGGGAACAGTGACTTTACAAGCAATGTAAAGCCTGTGATTCTGTGCAACATTGTACATTGCTAGAATAAATTTCCACACGTTTTCTAAAAAAACAGAGCTAACTTGGTTCTCTCTCCACTCATTTGATGCTTTCTGCAAAAATTAGCACTGTAGCTTTTTGGACTGGTTCATGTCTTCCAAAAACATGAACATGAATCATTTACCACAACGCACTTCAGACATTCACACTGTTCAGAGCAGACAGTGAACGCTCCGTGTGCTATAGAACATGTTACTTGAGATATCACATGAGAAGCATCCATCCTTCCGTAATAGCTCAAATAGACCCTGATTGAAGGTTAACTGTCACAAAGAATGGTCACACATACTATGCATATAAATATTTGCAGGCTTGGGGTTTTATCTTTGGCTAAAAAAGAATCAGATCATTTCTGAAATGATTACTGCTGATCAAAGGAAACAAATATCTGTGTACTCTTAACACAAACACAAACGTATAATTATTGGCACTGTAATGACCAGCCATTACTACATTTTGATTGAGAAGCCTAAAATTCTTGCATTCAGACAGTACCTTAAGACCTCGAAGCAACTGATATATGAGAAACTGTATATGGTCATCTGTTAACTTCTGGCACTTCACTATGTTGTTCAGGTCAGCACCCATTAAATTTGTCACAAGATACCTGTGAAAATAAAATACACACCCCAGAGAACAAAACAAACACACCTCGTTTAAGATTGGCAGAAGGGATACCCCAAAAGAAGACCCTTTTAAGTGTAACTACACAGTTCCATGTAGATTCTTACTCTGTTTAGAACATATGGTTTGCATTCTTTCCAGTCAGCTGTGGCTTCAGCATTGAAATTTAATATGTCTAATAGTGAAATCAGCTATGAGCTTTAATATGAGAAAAAAGAAAAAACCTGCTTGCACATTAACAGTTTATCTATGTTTTCTCAATGACGCTCTACAGCAATGAAGGGAGAATATACTACGTTTTGAAATGAATAGGAAACCTCAACCTACATAAAAATGGAAGCCTGAGATACCCAAATGACGGTTACTGTGAGGCCTGGGAATATCTGATGATGAAAATTAACACAGCATCAGTTGAAATAAGGGTACTTTGTTTAAATCCCTCCACTCCAACTGAGGGGTTTATTTTTTAAACCTGTTTTGCAGAAACATCAATTTTCTTCCAAAGAAAGTTTGTGGTACAAAAGTCTGCACCTACCAGTCCCAATTTTCATGGTTCAATTTCACTCCACTAAGTTAAAGGGATTTTGGCCATTAATTTCCATAAAGCTAAAAAGTGTTACTATTACCTCTGCTAAACTGTTAACCTAAATGCTTATACCAGTTGACAAAAACAACATAAATGATTTGTTTGAGTAATATGAACATAAAACTACTCCTAGGTCAATTGGGAATCTTGTCTAAATAAACCAATATAATATTTCTCTGCATTTCTGAGCAGGAATCTAATCTAGCTGTGAAAAAATAATCTACTATTAACACATAATTGAATTTAGGAAGTTTTAAGTTCATTGGCATTAAAGCAACAAACCGTTACACAAAACGTTCACCAGTACAAGGGACGAAGGATCTCTTTAATGACCATTCAAAAAAGTACTAAAATGAGACCCATCCTTTTGCTTTCCTATTGTGGAAAACCTACATAAGACATATTGCATTCTTTGCAATATTAGAAAAGAATGTGCTTTTTAAAACCAGAGCAGCACTATCCCTATTTACACATTAAACACTCAAAAAAATTTTAAAATGTTACTTACACTTCATTAAAATTTTCTATTGATGTTGCAGGTGTAAAAACATCTAGCAATCCAATTACCTGAAAGACAAGTGAACTGCCAGTTTATTTTTAGAAAATGGCATGAAAATTACAAATACATAACATATGATATTCTGGAAACTTAGTAAAACCAATATAATCAGTGGTTTATCCTGAGACAGACTCAGCTATCTCCACGACCAATTAAAAATATATATTAACTATAGCAGGTGGAACAAGGCTTCAGCCAATCATAAATCAAGCCAGGAAATGCAATGTCTCACTACAGAAAAACTGATACATGGTTTGTACACTTGTTATACTTAAGATTATGTGCAATTTCACAGGTTTTCTTGCTCTGTTGAAATAACTAAGTATCCTCTCTCCAGGATATTTTTCAACCCACTATATTAGGCCTCAGTTAAGCAAGTTACTTTTAAGGGATATTTTTCAACCCACTATATTAGATTCAGGCCTCAGTTAAGCAAGTTACTTTTAAGCAGACGGATATTCCCACTGAAATCAACCAGTTGTGACATAATTTTAGGCAAGTACTGAGTTATTTGGAGGCAGAAGTTTTCCTATCTTTTAGCTAGATTAACAGGTGAATTGTGTAAGACAAGCATATCATTGTCATTCACTTCATTGAGAGTATCTGTCCTTAATTTCTCAACAGAAACCAAATTCAGCAAAAGCATGTTTGAAATATATTTTCCAGGATGGGTGTTTCAATATCACCCAATAGTAGGCAGCAGAACTCTGTACTTCAGTTAGAGAGGAGTAGAACCACTTGCATTAGATTTCATTACTTGAATTTTCAAGATTCAATTAGAACATGTTTTTTTTCATAAAAATGCAGTTTTCCCATGACTTCTCAGGTAGCTAGGTCCAGATATTTTGGGTAATTGGAAGAAAATTTTCTAAAAAGACTGCACCTAATTGAAATTAAAGTCTATATTGAAAGCTCTCATAAAAAACAGAAGGGGAAAGAACGGACCCTTCCCTTACATTTTCATGCTTCATGTGCTTAAGCAATCTGAGCTCTCGGTAGGTCCTCCTTGCGTGAATAAGTGACTGAAAAGGTCTTGAAAGCTTTTTTACTGCCACCTTCTGTCTTGTTTTAGTATCATAGGCTGAACTACAGGAAAAAAGAAAGATATATTAAAAGCATGTTCTAGGTGTGCATTTCAAAGCTCTCCACTGCCTAAACATCCCAAAATTCACTGGAGAAACTTATCCTCTGTTGGTGATTTTTACTCCCTCTTTTGCTGTTATTTACATTTTAACTAATGGATTGCACCTGGGAGAGCTAGTCAGCGTTAACCATGAGGATTCAACTACAGCTCCCTTGTTTTAGTCCTAGCAAATTTCTAATGCTTATATAACATTCAGGAATCCCCCAGGCAATCCTTCCCCATTTGGCAGGGAAAGTAAACCAAGAATTAGCTTCATTAATGCATGTCTATCCTCCCTCTCCAAATCAAGACACTTTGGGAATACTAGGATTTAAACCCCGGGTCTTAGTGAACAAACTGGAGCCTCTAATAATTAGAATAATGCTGCCGTTGTGTCTAGCAATATTAACTATGTCTAGTGAACATTTGCTTGCTCTAAGATACTGCCACAAGTCTAGTACCACGTCTGAATCTTGACATAGCCAGGGCAATGCACATTTCCTCAGGAAATACCAATAAAAAATGAAGAGCAGGTAGATGTCACGAACTGCTGTCCACAGATGCCGCAGATACACAGCATGTGCTTAACTTTATACGTATGGAATGCCCCACTGATGAGGGCATTGAGTATGGATGTGACCATTTGCACAAAAAGGGAGACCATTTTTCTACACATTAGAAAGACATGGCAAGTGTAGTAAGCCAAAAATAAATACTGCCTTTACGGAACACAGGAATAAAAAGGATGCCTCGATATTTCACTTTATGGCACTACAAAGTACATTTATAAAAAGATTCAGTCAGCTACCTTCTCTCATTAAGAAAACTATTTCTTTAAATGGTTGTTGTTACCTGTTAGATTAAAATGTAGTTCAATTAAAGTATCTAAAATTTTCTGTTTGAAGTGTGGTTAACACAATACGCAATTGCTAATAAGAGCAATAGTAAGCAGAGATGAACCTCCACACATTTATCTGGCAGAAACCTTTTGTGGAGTTATAAAACAATGAATGTTAAATAACATAAAAATTGCAAGTAGCAAAGGTTGACATGACAATGCTTGACAGTAAATAGATGTTATTAATTGCTTATTATTAGCATTTTAAGCACTCCTGGAAACTCTGGTAAGAGACACCTGCCGGAAACAAATAGCATCTTGCCAGGAGCGGTTCCAAAACTAACACACTGATCCTATAAGTTTCATGTTGGTGACTCCTACACATACTAAAATCAGGGAGACGTAAGCAAAGAGCAGAGAAGGGCATCTGTAGACAGTCAGAAGACAAAGAATCGTTTTTAATGAGAAGCAACAAATGGATAGTAAGAACAGAATGACATCTAAAAGCTGATCATGACCCAAGTATCCTAGAATTCTGTGAACCTCTCAGAAGGCCAATGCAGAGCATAATGTAGCAATGTTTTATTAGATAAAACCAGAGTAAGAGGAAATATATTTAATCACCAAGTTTCTTGCAGACACCGTGGAAGGAATGAGTCACTCATGAGATAAATGAAATAGATAAGCAGATTACTTAGCTAGTTTTTTGAAAGCATCACAGAAGTAAATCTGGGGGGAAGTTTTAAAGATGCAGAGAGTGGTGGCTTTGCAAAGCACCTCAGGAAAGGCATTCCCTGAGAAGAAAGGAAGCAGCAGAAGACAACTGGAATCACTCAGGAATGGATGGAAGGGATATGATAAAGAAACTTGTTTTGAAAGTGGGGTTGGGACACAGGATAGGAGGATGCTGTGTTACTCAAGCTTCTGTTCAAGGGATGCATGGTGTAAGAAGAATTGACAAGAGAGGTATCTTAAATTTCACAAGACTGGCCACAGAGACGACACGAATGTTGCACAAGTCAGTCTGAAGGAATAAGAAGGAAGCCAGTGCCTCACTCTGAATATAACAAAGATTAGACTTAATTGAATGTGTGTAATCCTGAGCAGCAAAAACAAAGGAGAGCAGGACAAGTCTCGGAAATACCTACTCTCCACATATATCCTAAGTTAAAGCTTTTGTTTCCAGTATAAAAGGATGTGTTTATACAGGCAAATAACTTACATTGCCCAACACAGCCGTTTGTGCTTAACATCTCATCTCTGCTGGTAATTCACTGGCTTTCTCACTCATGTTTGCACTGGTTTATGACAGACTGTGTACATACAACACTAGAAAGAATTAGGTTTTAAGTCCCATTATCATGATAAACATCCCCTTCCTCCCACTTTTAAGGTCAAACGTAAGTTTTAGTAGTTTAAAAACTGATGATCTTTTAGAGGGATCGCTTTTTACCCTCCATATGACTCAGGGCTGCAAAGCTTTCACAAGGTATAAAACACTACTTTTTAGCTTCAGTAATTCTTATGACAGCAGCTCTTTAGATACAGGATGGAAACAAACAGAGAGAGAGAGAGGGGAAAAAAAAAAAAACAAAACACCAAACAGTGACTCAATTTCTGGGATCTCTAATGAGAAATCTTTAAACGAGTTCCTTCCCTGTCTAGAAACTGCACCAAATACTAATCAGGTCAATGCCTTCAAGTTTTTCCCACGTCTGGGTTCCCCATCAGGACAATCTAAATTATTAATACTGAAACGTTCAAAAATACGGATTTCGTTAATCTTTTTTGTTGTCTCATTCAAAAATGAGATGCATCTGTGATATCTCTGCTGTGGCCACTTTTCACGAGCAGCAGGATGTTGCAGGTATTCCTCCCTGTGCAGAATTACATGTTTGCTCTCATTTCAGACTGAGTCTCTCCCTTTTCCTATCATATCATTATAGCCACAATCTGAGTCGTCTCCTGAATCCTTCATAGTCACCAGAGTGAGTTGTTAGGTTGTGAGGTGGCGGGAGTCACTCATGAGATAAATTAAATAGATAAGCAAATTACTTAGCTAGTTTCCCCTTTCTGTGTGATTTCCCTGCAAGTATCCAGTTTTTAGATGAGATCCCTGGATAGCACAGCTCTGACTCCAGTTATGGTAATTCTATCGGCCCACCTGTGTTTAGCATGTACACAACCCTTTGGAGAACAGCCATGAATAAAACGATTCAAAAGAGTGTGTTCCAAACATGCTGTTTAACCAGTCAAAGGCATGTTGTGATGAAAAAAAAAGGAGTTTGAGGCCCTCGCCTTCCCTCATCCTGCCCTGCACTCAGCTCACACACTCCCTACCTCTGAACTAAAACAGGAGAGGGTTGGTGCTGGGCTCCTGGTATTTGCGCTGTCTCACAAACAACTGCTGACAACTTGCAGCTCCTTCCTCTTTTGCAAGGCACTTTCTACTGCTGCGGGTCCTTGGAACACAGGCTTCAGCTTTGACAAACCAGTTGTGTCAACTGACTTATACCTGAAAATAAAATCATCTTTTCAGTGATTCAGATAGTGTTTTCAATGTTTATTTGAAATGGCTTATTCTGCAGTGTTTTAATTATTACATTACCTAATGTAGCTGGACAGAATATACAAGGGAGATAACTCTAACGCTTGTCAACTCCCATCTCTAAGACGTTATTTACTATTAGCATTTCATTTGTTGTAGGCACTGACAATAAATGACTTCTAAATTGCCTATTGTCATTTAGCATTTCTGATTTACTATAGAGGAGTATTCTCTAACGCCTCAGTAGTAAGTGGGAACACTACTTTAGACAGGAATTCTATCATGATTTAAAAAAGAAACATAATTCTTACTGTTATCTTACTTTACACACTCTGCAATAGCCTTAGCATCAGATTCCTTAGATATGATCATTCTTAACCCAGAACTGTTGGCAGTTATGACAGACCTTTTTGCTGTACAAGTAAGATCAAGGATGAAACAGCCATTACTTTGCCCACAGTGATTTTTGACCCAGATCAGAGGACTTTGTCTAAATAATGACTGAAAATTATACTAAGCAGGTTTTTTTTGCATCTAATTGTCAACTTCTGCATTTAATATCTCTATTATTGTTCCTCTAGATAAAATAAGAATCTCTACTCATATACACATCCCACCAGTCACAGAAGTTTGAGCATGGGAAGCTAATGCGGTCTAAAACCTCGAAAGGCAGAGAGCACAGGATTTTAAAAGTCCCATGCCAACTTCATGACTTTGATGGGGCATTAGTTAATATTTCTAAATATTGCTGTACATAAAATCATTTCTGTAATTTCCACGGACAGTTTATCTGTTATAGTTACAGACTGGTAAACTGGACCCACCATTCCTACATACATCCACTTCTCAGACCCAAGTTCATTCTGGGGGTTACCATCTCACGTGTCTGCAGGGAACGGCTGTTTTTTACCACATTACCTGTATCAGTCATTATTCCAGACCACATCACCCCTGCAAGGTTTTGGCTGTCTGTAAAGTGTGACTTTATGTTTATGGAAGTGTTCTACCTGACCAGACAACTAGATATGCTTATTCTAAATGTGAGCTTCAGTTGAGTAGCTGTAAACATACAAAGAAGAACTAACATCTCCAGTTTTACACAAACTACCGTCCCAGCCTGGGACATCGCAGGTTTGGTGACTGTATGGACACACTACACCAAGCTTGAGAAAGAGCTGTGCACAAGCACATCCTGAAATCTGCTCCTTGCGGCAATGATGCTGCATCTAAAGGTTACCTATACTGTTCCAGGCTACTGTACTTACTTCCTCTACTGCAGCACAAAGCCAAAATCTCTCTACTTCCCTCGTTAACTCAAGAACCGTATTCCCGTAGAACGTGCCAAGCTTGCTGCATGGAAATGCAAAGAATAAAAGAATCTCATTTCATCATAGGAGACATTCACCTACCTCCTTGTGAGCCAGTCTCCCCTGGGTTTTAACATCCTGGCTTCCTGAGAAAAACAAGTAACAGCAGCAGAAAGGTGCATGGCAGGAAGTGCAGGGGAAAGGAGGGGAGAGAGGTCAGCACCTGGAGAACTCGACTGCAGAGGTAGGTGGCCACAGCGCTCTGGGCACGGGC